CGAGGGCCGCGTGCCGGCGGCCGGCCGGGCTCCCAGCGCCAGCAGTGCCACCAGCACGGGCCCCGCCGCCGAGACGCGCCCGCTCCCCATGCCTGCTGCCGCCGGACGATGGGGACCCGGCACCCCGCGCCAGCCCAAATCCCGGGGCCGGGCGGGGAGGGCCAATGAGCGGCGGCGGCGCCGGGCGGCGTCACCCGTCTCCGGGCAGAGTTCGGCGCTGAGGGGCTCCCTCTGACACTCTGCCGCCGTCCCCCCGCCCCACGGGGGTCCCCAAGGCCCCCGTTCCCCTCCGTGCTCCCCCCCATGATCTCACCATGGCCATCCAGTGCTCATCCCACGGAATGTCCACGGTGACCCCATGGTCACCCCATGGTCATCCAGTGGTCTCACCTTAATGATGCCACCATCACCTCTTTGTCACCCCATTCTCATCCCATATCCCCCCTTTCCCCCTTCATGTTTAACCGACATTTCCCTCTGTGACCAGGCCATGTTCAGCACGAGCTCCTCCACTGCTCCCATCATGGTGACCTCACCATCACCCAGTCATGTGCCCTGGTAGGGCCCTGATGTCCTCAGTGGGACCCAGATGTCCTCTATGGGACAGGACCTGTCCATTCCCAATGCCATCCAGGGGTCCGTGTGGCATGGGACACAGATGTCCACCCAGGTGTCCCCACTGTCATCCAGATGCCTCCATGGGTTGGGAAATGACCACCCAATGTCACCCGGATGTCAACATGCGATGGGACCTGGCCGTCCCTCATGGCATCCCCATGTCCAACTTGGGATGGGATCCCAGTGTCACCCAATCCCATCCCAGTGTCACACAGATGTCCACAGGGAATGACATCCAGATTTCCCCAGTGCCACTCAGCTGCCTCACCAACCCAAGACTTCCTCCCAGTGCTTTCAGTTTGCCCCCTGTTCCCTCCCCCCCGCACCCAGATCTGGTTTGTGAGGACACCACCACACGGAGACAGCACATTTTGGGGTGAAAAACTCTATCCGAAGCTGAGGTGCTGAGAGCTGGAGTGGAGGTCACTGTGATTTCTGCAAGGCACGGGAATGAGAATGGTGAGTTTTGGGGTGTTTTGAGGTGTTTGGGGGTATTTTGGGTTTTTTTTGGGGGTGTTACCTTGGTTTCCTCTTCGGGTCGTGCAGCTGAGAGGAGAGAAAGAGTGAACGGATGGGGACATGGGGGGATATGGGGACACGGGGGGATATGGGGACATGTGGGATGTGGGAGGACATGGGGACACTTGGCATCATTAGGACATTGGGACACAACGACATTGCTCATGGGGACACTGGGTCATGGGGTGTGAGGATGTGGGGGCTCTGGGATGTGGGAACAGCACTCACCTGTAGGGTAGAGCCAACGGATGAGGCCGCAGAGGATAAAAGCCACCAAGAAGAGCCCCGTGATGTCCTCCAGGTGCGGCCCCTCAGTGCCTTTGGGGACAAGGACAGCCTTAAGCACGGTGTCACCACTCTGGGTGGGGTCTCCAACCCTGGGGCTGCGGTCCCCAACCCAAATCCATGCATCTCTCGTTGTCCCAAGCCACAGCCCTGATGTCCCTGTCACACTCCTAACCGCGGTCCCAATGTCTCTTGATGTCCCCAACTTCAGTTCCAGTGCCCCTTGGTGTCCCCAGCCATGATGTCCCTCCTAACCACGGCCCCCCCATCCCAATACCTCCACATGTCTCCAACACCCTCACAGCCCCCTCACCAGCCACGAGCAGTCGGACGGAGACGCGCATTGGTTTGGCCAGTGCGGTGTGGGTGACGACGCAGCTGTAGATGTCCCCGTGGTGTTGGGGATGTGCGGGGATCAGCCGTGCTGCCGCTGTCCGGCTGTAGGTTCCATCAGCAGCCCGGCGGTGGCCCGATGTCCAGCTGTCCATCACTGTGCCCCCCGGCGATCGCCATGGCCCCGAGCCCCCCGCGCGGCGCTGCCACGTCACTGTCACATCCAAGGGGTAGAAGCCAGACACGTGGCACTGCAGCTCTGCTGATGTCCCTGGGGTCACCACCAGGTTCTTTGGGGACAGCGTCACCTTGGGGGGCTCTGGAAGACATGTGGGGGGACATTGGTCCCATATAGCCCATATGGGTCCATCCTACAGGGCTCATCCCCCCCTATAAACCTATAGGTGAACTATGGGACGATGCCACCCCATCCTATAGGAATCATCATCCCATGTATCGTATCGTATCATATCATATCATATCATATCATATCATATCATATCATATCATATCATATCATATATCATGCCATATCATGCCATATCATCATCCTATACGATGATATATATATAATCATGTCATCCTATAGGAATCACATCCCATTGGAATACCACCCAGTCCCATCCACCCTATAGCCCCCACAGGAATCCCACCTGGTCCCATATGTCCTGTATGACCCATAGCAATACCACCGTATGCCCTATATGACCAATAGGAATACCACCTGGTTTCACACACCCCATAGGAACGCCACCCAACCCCACAGGAACACCTCCAGCCCCACATGGACTCACCAAAGACGTCGAGCTGCAGCACCGTCTGCGTGTGCCCATGGGGCAGGAACACGGTGCAGATGTAGGTGCCCTCATCCCCTGGTGATGGCCTTGCCAGGCGCAGCGTCACCTCCGTCACCCCGTCCCCACCCCGTGTCCCCAGCAGCAGTTCGGCCCCAGGGGTGGTGTGGGGGGCGCGGGCGGTGGAACTGTCATAGGCCAGAAGGATCCGACCCGCACCCCTGCTCTGGTGACGCCATTCGAGGACAAAGGGGGACGGGGGGGCGGCAAAGGCGCAGTGCAGGTGGGTGGGGGACCCCACACGGACCCGGAGTGTTGGGGTGTTGGTGAGCACCGCCAGGGACACTGCGGGGACGTGGGGAGGTGAGGGGACGTGGGGACACAGGAGGACATGGGGACACTTGGGGACATGGAGAGGTGAGGCGACTTGGGGACACTGGGGGATGTGGGAAGGTAAGGGGACATGGGGACACTGTGGGGACATGGGGAGGTGAGGGGACATGGGGACACAGGAGGACATGGGGACACTGAGGGGACGTGGGGACATTGGAGGGACATGAGGACACTGGAGTATGTGGGGAGATGAGGG